GACTATTTTAAAAACTGTTCCTCCCATTCCAAGAATATATCTGTTTAAGGTATGATTTTCTTCATCTACTTCATCTAAAAACAATGAACTGCCAGTTTGTATGCAGAAGCAGATATAAGAATCTAGCTATCTCATTACCTAAGATAATAAAGAGATTTGCAAATGTGTAAACCAATCCACTTTTCTCAATATACTTTTTCATTAAAACATGTATTTGCATTAATATTATAATTGGTTTATTATATTTTTAGGTAAACTGATATTTAATTTTTTTTTTCAGTTTTGATTCCTACTATGAAAAATATTGTTAACTATCTACATAAGCAAAAGCTCTTTGAGACTCAATTTTTAAGACCATAAGGGGATCTTTTTTCTATTTTTAAAGATTTATTTATGCATACAAGAACTGGGGTACAGGCCAGAGGTGCAGAGGATGAGAGGATTCACCAGAGACAGTGGGGAACAGGCAAATTGACTGAAATGCACTGCTGAGGGGAGCAGCAGGCAAGACAGGAGAGGTCTACTGTGTCATGTGGGTTAGCTCCCTAGCCCTCATGTTGCAATTGCTTTGGTAACTTCATAGTGCTACAACTTAACCCCTTGTGCCACCAGGGAGGCCCCATAAAGGGATCTTGAGACCAAAAAATTTCATCTCAATATGTTTGTTTTTTTTTTTTTAAGATCAAATAGTACACAGTTAGCAATTTCAGAGAAAATATGATGGTAATTTTATCCCCACCTTTTTTTATTAATATAAAATAATTTTACTAAAACCTCCTTTGGAGTCTTAAAAATTATTCATTGTGTTACAAGGTCTATCTTGGTCAATTTCAATTGGCTAATGTTCAGTTTCTTAACAAAGGGATGCTTGTTTTCATTTGTATGTTTTCATTGGTTCCATATTAAGCTTTATCTTGGCTCTAGAGATCAACGCATAGAAGTAGAAGTAATACAAATATACTATCATAAACACAAATGAATAGAGCTTTAGTGTTCTTACAATCTAAGTTTATATATTAGAAAGTGATATGATTTGCACTAACAGTTAAAATAGAAAGGTGCAGATATGACATATGATAATGACTGGGATTATGTTTTATCGGACCAGCAGTATCTTTTTAACTACTCTCCAAAGCTTGTCTACTCTGAAATTTTGTCAAATACTGGGACAAAAAGCCATTGAAACAAAGCACAAGCCATAATTTTCCAGAACTGTAAAACAGTGTGTCTGGGATGACAATGATGAATTCTGTCACTAAACATGAAGGAGAAACTAGAACTTCCAAGGCATCGTTCATAACTGCACAGCGTAAGTGGATATGTCACACCTTTGACAAGGAGCTTTGTGGAATTAGCCAAAAAGTTCCTGAGATGTTTTATTTTTGGAGAAAAAGCTAAATAAGCTACTTTATCAAATGACACTGTTGGCATTATCACTAGTAAACAAGGTAAATGATTAATGCTGCAATTTTTGAAATATGAAATAACAAGTATTCCAGATTATGATGATGCAAACTGTTTATGGAAACTCTTAGTTTATCTATAGAATATATATGGGGAAAAAAGTATTGTTTCTCTGCTGTTTAAGAAAGTCTGTGCTTGCAGATAATCCATTTTGTTACTTTGTGAGCTGTGACATAAACCGGTAAATGAGAGGACCTTGGGTTAGTGCTAAGATATTGCCAAGTGTGCACACATTACAATTGAATGAAGTTTTGAATAAAATGAAGTTTTCATCCCATGCAGTTTTGTAAGCCAATGTTACCTTAATAAAATAATTCAAAAAATTTTCCCACATCCCAAGCCTCTTTCCAGAAAACAGCAATCAAGAATGTGCCTATGATCTTGAATGACTGATTAGTTAAAACTAAAGTTAGCAAACTAAGGTGGTTGGGCTAGACTTGTCCCTTCTTCCTCCGCCTATATTTATATGGCAAAGAATGATTTGCATTTTTTAAGATTTATTTTATTTGTTTATGTATACACAAGCTGGAGTGTAGGCCAGAGGTGCGGGGTGGGGTGTATGTGAGAGGGTTGACTGGAGACAGACTGGGGAGCAGAACAGGCGGTTTGACTGAAATACACTGCTAAGGGGAGCAGTGGGCAAGACAGGAGAGGTCTGCTGCACCATGTGGGTTAGCTCCCTGGCCAGGGATCGAACTGCTGCTGATAGTTTCATAGTGCTGAGACTTAACCTCTTGTACCAACAGGGAGGTCCCGGTTTTTGCATTTTTTAATGGTTGGGAATAAATGCTACTTAGTGACACATGAAAATCATATGAAGTTCAAATTTCAGGGTCCATAAAGTTTTGTTATAACATAGCCACACTCAGGTTTATGTAATTATATATACACTGCTGCCTTCACACAGTTGATCAATTGGGACCACAATGGTAGGGCCTGCAAAGTCTAAAATACTTACTATCTGGCTTTTACAGAAAAAGTTTGATGACCCTTGAATTGTAATAACTTACTTTGATCCATCTTATTTATTGTTTTTCCCCATGGGAGTTCATTTGAAGAAAGGATCTTAACTGCCTTGAAAACAAAAAAATTTTTTTAAGTATGTAAACTTTTCAAAAGGTCAGCTGAGTGAACTAGCATTTTTGTTCTTTTGCCACTCTCTGGGAAGAGCAGGGTGGGGTTCACAGTTTAGTTTGAAAATTCAGATTTAAGTAATTCAAGACAGTGGAAGGAGTATGTCTTTTAAAATAGTACTTTATAGGTGATACAAAGATTAACCTATTTATGCCACCAGAGAGTTTAAATCTGGTAAAGGGATGTGAAGCATTTTCTTCTTCATAGTATAATTTTTTCTTAAAAGATAGATTACACATAGTTTAAAATGGAGGCATTTGACTCATCTTCCTGTTCTTTCAAATTGATACCCAGCAAATTGCTATCAGTCCAGCAAATTCCACTCTTCCTCATTTTTCCAAACTCAAGGTTCTCTTTCCAAAATATGTTGTTCTGATTTAACTGTTTCTCCTGTGTTTTTGTAGCATATACTGAATCCTGTAATTATTAATTGCTTAGTGTCTCTGTACTGAACTATAAGTAAGCTTCTATAATAGCTCCCTCTATAGCTACTGGAGGGACTGTTTGTTGTAGGTAGTATGTTTTATTTCAGATAATTGGCTTTGAAGTCGGACTTACCCTGATTTCTCTAACCAAATCTGGTTTCTCATCTATGAAATGGGGATAACAAGGTGATGATGATAATTATAATAGCAACAATTATAATACCTTTTAGAGTTTGTTGTGATCACTTAAGTGAGGGAATACAAATAAAATCTTAGTTAAGTTTTAGACGTACACTACTGTGCTCACTTTGTTGCTATATTTTTTTGTCAATGTGTATTATAAGGTAAGGACCCTTTTTAATAAATATTTTGTTGAATCGAATCAAGGTTTATTTTTATCACCAACTTTGTGCTTCAGAGAAGAAGCTAAAATTAAAGCTTCTCTCTATCCAGAAAGACTTGTCCCATAGATTTCTATCCAAAGGTGATGATGATGTTTCTGTTTGATGGGGTTAGGGTGATTTTTTTCTTTGTTTAGTTTTTTTGATCTATTTTAAAATCCATATTCTTTCTACATAGCTTATATAAAGTTGAATTATAAATCAAGTGTTTCTATGTGCCAGGGACTATTGTAAGTGCTTTATATTTATTTAGTTCTCATGATAACCCTTTGCACTAAGAGTTACTACTGTTTCTATTTTCAGATGAAACAACGAAGTACAGACACATTAGAAATGTTCATAGGTTACTCAGCTAGTAAGAGGCAGAGTTGGGATTTGACCAAAAGTCTGGCTCCAGAGTTTGTGTGTTATTTTATTATTTTTAAAAAAGATTTATTTATTTATTTATTTATTTATTTATACAAGAACTGGGGTATAAGCCAGAGGTGCTGGAGGTTAGAGGATTCACCAGAGAGAGTGAGGTGAGAGGATTCACAGGCAGACTGACTGAAATACACTGCTGAGGGGAGCAGTGGGCTAGGCAGGAGAGGTCTGCTGCGCCATGTGGGTTGCTCCCTGGCTGGTGGGATCCAACTAGTGCTGTAGTGGCTGGCAGAAGCTTAATGGCTTGTCTTTAACCCCTGCGCCACCAGCAAAGCCCAGAGTTTGTGTTCTTTACCACTTGTAATGCTTTTGCTAGCCACAATATCTCTCATTTGCCATATGCTTATATATGAGATGTGGCTTATCTTGAGTAACTTTCTCGAAGTTTTAAGTTTGTTGACATTGCCAGACATGTGGTAGAAAATAAATATTTGTGTTTGAATTAATGAATTAATATAATGGTATAACATTATAATTACTGTTGTACACTCATTGTGTAATAATTCTTGACTTCAAGTAATAACTTTTCTATGGAAGTCTAGCTGCTGTCTAGAGCCAGGATTGGCTATTCTTAAGCAACCTATTATAAAACTACAAAAATTTGAGCAAAGAAATTATTTAACAAGTCTATTTATATTCCTAAATTCATTTTTACTTGCTGGTAAAAAATCTCTTTACTGCTCAAAAAAGTCTTTGTGTTTTATTTAGAGTTTTGTCCTTTTTTGGATCCTTCTGTTAATTTTTTTTAAAAAAGGTTTAGTTATGTATAAAAGAGCTGGGATGTAGATCAGAGGTTGGGGGGATCGGTGAGAGGATTCACCAGACATGGAGTGGGGAGTAGAACAGGCAGATTGACTGAAATACACTGCTATGGGAAGGAGCGGGTGATGCAGGAGAGGTCTGCTGAGCCATGTGGGTTAGCTGTGGATACCTTGATAGTGCTGAGACTTGAACCCCTTGCGCCACCAGAGAGGTCCTAAATTTTTTTTTAATGTTAAAAAAATTGTGACAGAGAATTCAGTTCTTTATAGAAAAGGCCTTAAAAACTTGGGCTATACTGGCCATGCTAGTGAAGTTGTATTGAATTTGGTCTCTAAAACTTTTAAAATAGTAATGATCTTGAAGTTTGCTTTATTTTATATGTCACTTTCAGAATTCTCCACTTTACCAGTACTTACAGGATCTTGGACACACAGATTTTGAAATATGTTCTTCTCTGTCACAAAAACAAGAAAACAGCACAGCAACAGATGGAGAACAAAAGCTTCCTACAAGTGCCCTGCCCAAAGTAAGAGAGCATGCCCATTCTTTATAATTTATTCTTTCATTCTTTACTGATTATTTATTTATTTTGCATTTTAAATAGCTTTTTTTTTAAAATATTTTATTTTATATAATTCTTACATCATTTTTCATCTTTGCACAATGTATGCATTTAATATTTTTTAAAAAGAGAGCACAAGTTATATTATAGCAAATTGATATTTTATAAATGGTTTTAGGGATATATGATGTGTGGATATTTCTGTCTCAATTTCTGGTGCCCTTATTGCAGCAATTTTATATACTTTCATATAGTTAATATCTCATAGTTGATGCACAGCCTTGTGAGGCTGAAATAGTAGAAACTCTCCATTATGTACTTTCAAATGCATTTACTAGATTCATATGTATTCTATTAGCCATACTCACTAAAGTAAGAAAATATTCCAGTACATTTTAGTTTTAATAAAAGGAATTTTAATAGGAAAAAAATAACCAAATTACCTATTCCTTGAGCATTCTAGTTTAATCAAATCTAGTTTATTACAAAACTCAATTACTATTGGGAAGAAGTATTTAAATATTCAATTGGTCATTTACGCCATGATGACAGAAAGAGAAGGTTCTTTTATTTTCTTCTTTTTAGAAAAACCCCTAAAATGTTAGGTGACTAAGAAGAGCCAATTTAAAATGCACCTAAAATGTAGAATTAGGAAAGTTTACACTCATATATCAGAACAACTTTTACTAGTTCTCTGTACTTAAATCCTTTCTTCTTCTTGCACCTTTCAACCATGAATGTTCTCGGGAAGAGTTTTTAAAGGAGAGTCTAAAGGTAAATCTTATAGGCTAATTATACATTAAAACTTGGATTTGAGATTATTTGGCAACAACCAGAGGCTACTTTTAAAAATTGTCATAAATTTAGGAAGTTTGTTTAGTCTTCATATTACACATTTTAACTAGAAAACAGTAGTTATTTGTCTTGTTTTCCATGATACTTTTTCAGTCCCCAGGATATAATACTTAGTGAATGTAAACCCTACTTATTGGCATGTTCAGAATGAATTGTTAAGGTAATTTGAATTTTTGGTTGATTCAATAATAGGAGTTTTATTTCAGTGTGAGACAATTTTTCTAAAAATGGATTAAAATACATTTTTACCTTAGTATTGTGAAATGATTTGTTCTTTATGTTTGAAAATTTACTATTCAGCAATCAAAAAAGATAAACTCATGCAATTCGCAACATGGACAGAACTTGAAAGGTTCATGCTCAGTGAAATAAGCCAGAAGGAAAAAGAAAAATATCACATGGTTTCACATATGGGAGAAATATAGAGGCACCAAATAAGGAATCTGGAAAAAAAAATAATATGAGGCACCAAATAAGGAATCTGGAAAAAAAATAATAAAACAACAAAGGTAGAAGGCAACCATAAATAAGAGACATTCTACTAGGGAGGGGGAGGAAAAAGGATCAAAACAGGGGCGAGAAAAGCACAAGGGATGATGGTGGCGGTTCACAGGTGAAATTGTGGTGGGAATTTTACAGGGAATACACAGTGATATAAAAGATAAAAATTTAAAAAAATTTAAAAAAAATTTGGAGTACCCTGTAGTATTCATTTTGAAGTAACTATCAGGTTGACTTAGATAATAAATAGTGTATCAAAGATCAGTGGACTACATTTGGGTAATATCTATCTGACTGCTCTTTAAAAGTCAGGTCTTATTCCAAACTAAATGAATTAGAGCCTTTAGTTTGGGGGAAAGAACATGTTTCAAACTGAAATCTCCAGGTGGTTGTGATATGCAGGTTAATTTGGGAACTAATAAGGAGGTTGTGACAGGACAAAACAAATTAATCTGAATGATTTTTTTTTCCCTTCCCTTTTCTGATAAAAATTCTTATTTGTAGTTTTTTTGCTATGTGGTATGGTTTATTAATCCTATATAATGTCATTCATCTTCAGCAAGGTATCCTGTTAAAAGTGGCTGAAACCATCAAAAGTTGGATTTTTTCTCGATGCAATAAGAAGGATGACTTACTTCACAAGTTGGTAAGTATTCATTTCTTTTTGTGAATTCAGGCTCTAGTTTATTAGTGAGAGAACCAAAGAATCAGAATTTGTTTGCTACTGATTTGGGCAGAGGTTGATTTTGACTAGAAATTCTATAATAACTGTGGGCCTTTGAATTTAGACTCATTAATATTATTCATAGCTCTTCTAAGAGGATTTTTGCTACATAAACTAGAATATCTGGTAGTTAGTGGAACCTGATTTGTTAATTACTAATTTTCTGTTGCTATTTTCCTCCATAGCTCGCAGTAGGGAAGGAAATACATTTATTGGTGGAATCTTCTTTTTGTTAGGAATTTGACTATCAGTAGGCCTTGGCCTACAGTGTATGATTACTAAGTTTGGGCAAAATCAAATGTAATTTCTCTCTAATTTATTAATCTGCCTTTTTCTAATAACTTCAAATGTAAAATTTAGTTTTCTGGGACTGATAGATCACAGAATTATCTAGAAACTTGAAATAGTCCACATTGAAAATCGTTGTATAAAAGTAGGCATTAAGAAATTCCTGTGATGCTTCCTTTTTCTTTCCTACTCCCTGCTGTAATTTATCTGTTGCTTAACCTCTAACTCCCAAAAGGAAGTACTTCAGCTTTTTACATCCAGGTAAATAATAGGAAAATCCAGGTAGTAGAGTTTAAAAAATTGAAATTATGAGGTACTCTTGATTCTCAGAAGGAATAGTCAAGTTATAAGTAAGTAGCTGTCAGGATCCTCTGCTGGCCTATGACTTTAAGATGATAAGTATCTTTCTTGTAAGTTATCATTTATAAAAAGATCGTTTACAAAGTGCTTTCAAATTTGGCGTGGTAATCCAAACACCATAAGGCTTACCACATTTTACAAATTGGTAAGCTTAAAGTTCAGACAGTTCAGTTTAGTTTAAGAATACCTATTAAGTGAATTGTTCAAAAATGTTTAGTTAGAAAATGATAGAACCAGAATTTGGATGCAGGTTCAAAGCCTGCAGTTCAAAGCCCAGGTTCTTTCTGTTATAGCTCATCTTCTCCTAGCTTGTGTATTATGCTTTGACTGACTGAAATAACACTTTTTAGTAATCCAAATGGTCAAGTTCTCTGTTTAGGGTTTCATCTTTGTAGGTATATTGAAGAAGGTCAATGAAGTATCTTGTCATCTTCATAGAATAAAATCTCTAACCAGGTGGCGCCATCTTCATTCTCAATGATACTAGAACTGTAGTAAGGTGTATGGCCCATATATATTATTATATGGTTTAATCATAGTCTGCATAATCCTGATCTTTTCATTCTTGATTATCTGTCACTGGCCATGTTTCACATTATGTTTCATTATATACGTGGCAGCTTATATGTACATCCCATTTGTGCTTGTTTGTAGGAAGAAATAGTACTCATGAAGAAACAAGGAATTGCTCTTTGGCTTCTGGAATGAGATTGCTTGACTTCTTTCCCTTGATTGTGACATACTTAAATTTTTGGTTAGCTGTACAAATTTAGAATCTGTTCCTTTTTGCTTTTTTAAAAATACTGACAATTGGTCATGATAACTAATCATTTTACCATGTCTGTTTTTATTAAGGTAGTACTTTTTCTTAATGATTTTGAAAAATTTCTTATAGTAACTATTATGGTAATGCTATTAGCACTTTTTAGCTTAAGTGCTTTCTCACATATACCTCATTTGATCTTCATCAGTTTTATGAAATAGCTCTGTATATTGAAAAATATATGATTTTATTGAAGTATATTGACACATGAAAATGTTCTCCTTTCTCCCTGGGGAGAAAAACAGAAATATTTTTATTCTTTACCTGTGTTTCTCATAGCCTTTTTATTATATCTAGGCAGAAATCTTCCCAAGACACAGTTTATCTATTTAGGCCCTAAAAAGATTTCTGTTATCTATTGAATAAAGTCCAGTTCATCACTGTGGCATATTCAGCATTAAAATTTGACTTCTGTGTTTGGGGTTATCCCTCTCCTACTGGTGTTGCACTGCTCTTTATCCTTGGTTGTGAATGTTGTATTTGGCTTTCAAGTCTTCTTCCATGTCAGTTATTTCATATGAAGTGGTAGTTTTTTAAAGATTTATTTATTTATGGGCCTCCCCGGTGGCGCAGCGGTTGAGCGCTGGGTTGCGAAGCTGCCCGCGGCCTCTGTGGCGCCGGTTCGATCCCCGGCTGCTCCCCGGCCACCGGAGGAGGGTCCCACATGGCGTGCAGACTTCTCCTGCCGCCCGCTGCTCCCCTCAGCAGTGTACTTCGGTCCTTCTGCCTGCTCTGCTCCCTGCTCTGGCTCTGGTGAATTCTCTCACCCTCCCGCGCTTCTGACTGTACCCAGTGCATGTATAAACAAAACAAACAAACCAGCAAACAAATAAATAAAGCATGCCTCTATAAAAAAAAAAAAAAAAAAAAAAAAAGATTTATTTATTTATGCATACAAGAACCTGGGGTACAGGCCAGAGGTGTGGGGGGTGAGAGGATTCACCAGATATAGAGTGGGGAACAGAACAGGCACATTGGCTGAAACACATGCTGAGAGGAGCAGCCGGTAAGCCAGGAGAGGTCTGCTGCACCATGTGGGTTGCTCCCTGGCTGGGGACTGAACTCATGCTGCAGTGGCTGCAGATAGCTTTGTAGGTTGCAGCTTAACCCCTTGCGCCACCAGGGAGGCCAGTTTGTTTGTTGTTGTTGTTTAAGGTTAATTTTATTTATTCATGCATACAAGAACTGGAGTATAGGCCAGAGGTGCAGGGGGTGAGAAGATTCACCAGAGACAGAGTGGGGAGCAGAACAGGAGGATCTACTGAAATACTCTCCTTCGAGGAGAGCAGCAGGCGAGACAGGAGAGGTCTGCCGCACCATATGGGATAGCTGTCTGGCCATGGATCGAACTCATATGCAGTGGCTGGTGATAGCTTGATAGTGCTGAGACTGTAACCCCTGTGCCACCAGGGAGGCCCTGTAAAATTTTTTTTAAAGATTTATTTATTTACTTATGAGTAGAAGAACTGGGGTATAAGCCAGAGATGCGGAATGAGAGGATTCACCAGAGACAGTAGGAGCAGAATAGGTAGCTTGACTGAAATACACTGCTAAGGGGAACAGCAGGCGAGACAGGAAAGGTTTGCTGCGCCTTATCTGGATTAGCTCCCTGGCTGGGGATCGAACTCAGGTATACACTAAGATGTAACCCCTAGGCCATCAGGGAGCCCCTGTAAAGTTGTGTGTGTCTGTGTGTGTGTGTGTGTGTGTGTGTTCTCAGGCGGAACTGAGTTTAGGTTCTTCCTATTCTTTACCATTTTCTCACTATCATTAGAATCTTTTCAATAAGCAGTCCTAGTTCTTCCTTGAGGCTTTCCTGGTTATTGGATCTCTTTTTTTTCCTACAACAACCTAGTAATAACCATATTTGCTATGTTCTATAAGTTTTTATATTATGTATGTGTGCAGAATTATCTACTTTAGGATTTGAAATCAGAATTCTGAAAAGTTGCTTAATCTCTTTGGGCTTCAGTTTTCTCTTCTATGGCATGAAGATGATAACATTCATCACTATGTTAACTAAGAATTAACCTATTTGCTTTAACATTATTACCTCATCTTTCACCTCTCTACAATGTGCACTCTGCACAAAACTAATATTGATGACTTGAAATTCCCCAAACTAGAGGGGCTTTTATTCTTTCCCTTCCAACTCTTCCATGTAGTCAATTCTTGTTCATGCCATTAAGACTCAGCTCAAGCATCACCTTTTTTACTTTCTCTGATTTATTTGTAAGTTTTGGTCCCTCTGTGCCATATGCATAATACTGTGTGTATATTTCTTATTATTTCTTTATACATTATATTGTAACTGTAGTTTCAATCCTTTCCATTAAACTATGAGCTCTTTAAGAATAGACAGTTGTTTGTGTTGTTTATTTTTGTGTGTTCTTTCTGTCAAACATGGTACCTAATATGTAGAAGATATACCCTTGATAGATGGATAAAAGGAGAAGAAGGAGGAATAAATGTACTGGTATAAATGAAAGCATTTTGTAAACTCTAAAGTGAAGTGTACATATCTGTGGTTTTTCAGTGCATTCCTTAATGATGCATTTTTAATCTGAATGTCCATTTTTAGAAGATTAATTCTGCTGATTTAATTCTTAGATATTTGCTATATTGTTACAGAACTTAAGGGAAAACATCTTATGTTACAGAATTATAGTTTCCATATTGTATTTCAGTAAATTAATTAGGCTTAATTAGGCAGGTTTATTAATCTATACTAAATATAGCTCCTAAAAATGTGTATTTCATATTTGATGACTCAATAATATCTACCTCAATCTTAAATGTTTCACATTTTATAGTGAAAATAAAATCCCACACATTATACTTAAGATAGATTGGATTGTTTTCCCTTCTTGGAGTCTGTACTGAAAGAAAACTTGTCTAAATTTTATTAGCATATTAGGAGCTTAGCATGTAATACAAAATTGTGTGTGTGTTAATACCTATCTTCCGCTCTTTATGGCAAGGATCTTGGATTCCGACTCGAGACACTAAATACCATCCTACAACAGGAAGTCCTGTTACAGGAGGATGTGGAGCTGGTTGAGTTACTTGACCCTAGTATCCTGTCTTCAGGGCAACCTCAACAACAGGAAAATGGACATCTTCCAACACTTCGCTCCCTGGCAACCCCTAATGTTTGGTATGGTCAGAAAATTTCTGTCCTTTGCTTATATATTTTGTATTAGCAGAGGAAATCTGTTGTCATGCTCTCCATTGTAAAGGCATTATAAACATTCCATATACACTGTAATTACATTGTAATTCTTATCCACTTTATTTTTAAAGATATGTTTTTTTTAATGCACACAAGAACTGGGGTACAGGCCAGAGGTGTGGGGGTTGAGAGGATTCACCAGAGACAGAGTGGGGAACAGAACAGGCAGACTGACTGAAATAAACTGCTGAGGGGAGCAGCGGGTGAGTCAGGAGAAGTCTGCTGCGCCATGTGGGTAGCTCCCTGGCCGGGGATTGACTCGTACTGCAGTGGCTGTGGATACCTTCATAGGTTGCGTCTTAACCCCTTGCGCCACCAGGAAGGCCCTTTTTGTTTTGTTTTAAGTGCCTTCTAAAGTAAATACTATATAAATTGAAGTTGGAGGTAAAAATCTAATTTGACTTTTCTATACTCTAAACTCAGTATAATTAGTTCTGTTTTTAACAAGTCAATAAACAAATAACTTGGCCCCCCCACCCCAGAGTCTTTCTTACCCTTATACTCGCATATATGTGTGCATACAGTCCTAGCCAGTTCTTTATGTTTCTTTCCAATTAATAGATTTATCATAATCACATTGTAAAGACACCATGGATAGATTGGGACATGGTGGTAAACTCATCTCTTCTCTATTGGCTGAGAAGAGATCATTATGGAACCTAGTCTGATGATTCAAATTATCCTGAAAATTCTTGACCACTTGAAGTTTTTGGGTCTTATGTAGAAATCCCACGTTCTTAATCTGTTGTTTTGTTTTGCTTTTTAAGTAGGAAGGTATTAGAGATGTATGTACAAAACTGTTACATATACAGAACTTTTCCTATGAACTGAATCATTGCTTGAATTTTTCAAGTTTATAGGTGATTGCATTCATTAGCTTAAATGTTCTGATTTTATGTCTTACCTGTCACACCAACAAATGCTTCATATAACAGATAGCAAAGTATGATGTTTTCCAAATCTGTAGTCATTCGATACCATTATGATGAAGTAAAGCATCTTTAAAAACATAAGAATATTTTTCTCATAAGCTGCTAGAAGGAACCATAGGTTCTAAAAACTACAACTTTACTTGCATGTTTCTTTTAGACAGAAATCTCATAACGCAACCATGAGCCCTGTAAATACTTTTGCTGTTAATACATGAAACTAAATGATGAGATTTTGCTTTTTATTATCAGTATTATCTAAAAGTAAAAGACTCCCCCCCAAGGAAATTAGGGTAGGCAATATTTATGAGAAAGTATTATAGCATGTGATTTCTTTTATAGTTTGACTATAACTATCTTAAAGTATTGTTGATGTTATATTTCAGATATAACATTCTCTGCTACATTCATCTCTTTCTTATATACACATTTTCATCAAAACTTTTAAGCTTGAAAAATGTCTTTCCTGGCCTCCCTGGTGGCGCAAGGGGTTAAGCACTGCATTATGAAGCAATACGAAGACTCTGCAGCATGAGTTCGATCCCCGGCCCGCCAGGGAGAAACCCACACGGCGAAGCAGATCTCACCTGTGTTGCCCAATGCTCCCCTCAGCAGTGTATTTCAATTAGTCTGCCTGTTCTGTTCCCCACTCTCTCTGGTGAATACACACACACACACACACACACCACACACACACACACACACGCATCTCTGGCCTGTGCCCCGGCTCTTGTATGCATAAATAAATAAATCTTTTAAAAGAAAAGAGAAGTGTCTTTCCATCTCTTGCATTTGTAATTGGCCTAAAGTAAAAACTTTAGTGCATATTTTTAGCTTAATTACAGCACTATAAAAGTATAAATTTTATCCAAACAATGGTCTGTGATATGTATGTATATTACAGATTAGTGATGATTATTTAATTAGATGACTTTATTTAAAATAACTACTCATCAAGTAAATATTTATCTTCAATTGGAAAAATGTTTATATTATCTTCAAATGTTAAAAATTAATATTTAAAAATACTTTTTAATATTTAAAAGATTAGTTAGGTTAAAGAGTCCATATTTTATCCAAAAAAAGTCATCATATTATGTCCATTCCCTAAGCATAGCAGCTCAAAGTTTTAATACCTAAGCACCATTGTTTAGTTGCCAGATCTTTAAAATTATTTTACATTACCCATTTAAGTAACGTAGCTTTAAATCATACTTTATAAAGAAGCTAGCATTTTATTTATATTAGTAAACCTAAGTATACAATTGTTTTTACTGAATAAGGTAACTTTATCAGGTCTGATGGATATTATTTTCTTGGTTTCTCTGTTTTAGGGATGTCTCAATACTATTTGCCTTCATCAGTTTGTTCATTATGCTTCCTACTTGGTGGATTTTATCTTCCTGGCTGGTATGGGGAACGATTCTCTTAGTTTATCTGATCATAAAAGCTTTGAGATTATGGAGGACTGCCAAACTACAAGTAACCCTAAAAAAATACAATGCTCAGCTAGAAGATACAGCAGCAAATAGCCGAGCTTTTACTAACCTGGTGAGAAAAGCTTTACGTCTCATTCAAGAAACTGAAGTGATTTCCAGAGGATTTACACTGTGAGTTCATTTTTCATTTTATTTTTCAATAATTCTGTTCTACTGCATAGTTAAATTAGACTATTTATTACCTACCCCTACATTGCATTTAAAGAAAACAGTTTCTCTTTAGCACTTAGTGAATTTTATTAACTGCTAGATGAAGGTATAAATACATTACATGGTAGATTTGATATGTGCTGTTTCTGCCTATTTTGAGAAACCAAAGTACTTTGAGAATCTTGATTATTTCTGTGTTTACAACGTGATTATAAGATAATAGAGAGTGCCTAACACTGAAATGGTTTGCAACGGTTACCTAATAAATGTTTGTTCCTTTTATTTCCTGTCAGATGCTCTCTTTCCTCAGTTTAAATCACTGGTGAATCCAACATGAATTCATTCTGAAAAATCTTGCCATGTATTAATATTTTTTAGGTAAACATAAGCAGAATATATGGCACTGATACTTTCAGAATGGCATCACATCACCATGAGAATTAAATAATCATCAGTCAAGCTATAAATGCATTGAACTATGTCATATACAGGCAATTTGTTTTATTATTAAAGGGAAAATCACATTTGTTGAACACCAGCTATGTTCCATATTTTATGATAGGCAATTTTGTGCATACAACTAATGTAGTAGAGCAAAGGTTCAAGTCCATTCCCTCTGACTCTAAAGTTTATTTCCAGTATACTAGGCTGCTTGCTAAACATTAGTAGATGACAGCTATACTATGGAATATTTAATAATTTATATATCTTATATAACCTTTGCAATCTCTAGCTGGAAGAAAGTAAGTACATAGAGAAGAAAAAATGTTGCTTTTAATGAGTAGTATGTGGAAAATCATTAAAGGAAGGGTAAAAGAACCTTCTGTAGTCATTGCATCCTTTATTCTGTTCTGCCCTAGAATAATACTTAAATATTTTTGGCATGAAACCTGTATCAGGAAAATCATGAAACAGGAAAGTAGAAAATCTTTAGTTGTCATTTCATTCGTTACTCTGTTGTGTTCTAGAACATTGTTTAAATAACCCAAGACATAACAGTGATTTTATGACTACTTTTTCTGTTCAATTCAAAATGTTTTCAGTGTCTATTAATTTTTGCACCTCAGGGCCTCTCCGGTGGCGCAGTGGTTGAGCGCTGGGTTGCAGGGCTGCCCACAGCCTCTGCAGCTCCGGTTCAATCCCCGGCTGCAAACTGGCCACCGGAGGAGGGTCCCACATGGCGCGCAGACTTCTCCTGCCGCCCGCTGCTCCCCTCAGCAGTGTACTTCGGTCCTTCTGCCTGCTCTGCTCCCTGCTCTGCCTCTGGTGAATTCTCTCACCCTCCCGCGCTTCTGACTACCCATTGATTGTATAAATAAATAAATAAATCTATTTTTAAAAAAATTTTTTTGCTCTTCCATTGTCGTTGAAGTCCATTTCTTTTTGAGAGACCTAATAGATATTAAGTTGTTTAAGTGTCAGATTTTAAAAGTTACAGAGCATGTAAGAACAAGAACTCCTTTTCCTTCTTCATTTGCACAGCATGTTATTGAGAGAACTGTTTAAGTGAAGTGGCTGTTTGTCCAATCAGTGCTTAGGCATGTGGAGAGAATTATGTGTCTGTCATTGCCCAGCTTTTACTCAAATTTATAAGATTGTCATGAAGAGCTAAAACAGGCCTGTCAGACATGACTTAACTTTGGATTATGACTTCTATTTGTTCAAATGCAAACAAGCAGAAGAAATGTTAGGAAAAAATTTGTTTCTCTTGTCTTCATCAAATAATAATGGACTCTTTAAATTATGAGGAATATTAAATTAAAAAAATAGTTTTAAACTGAAATATTTTAGTTTAAAATATTTTTAATTTTTTGAAAATTTTCAGAATATACTTTTAGAAATATTTTAGTTTTTTAGAAATATTTTTAGTTTTTAAAACAGATCTAGAAAGGGCCTCCCCAGTGGCGCAGCGGTTGAGCACTGGGTTGTAAGGCTGCCCGCAGCCTCTGCAGCACCAGTTCGATCCCCGGCTGCTCCCCGGCCACCAGAGGACAGTCCCGCATGGCGCGCAGACCTCTCCTGCCGTGCCCTCTGCAGTGTGCTTCGGTCTTTCTGCCTGCTCTGCTCCCCGCTCTGGCTCTGGTGAATTCTCTCACTCTCCCGTACTTCTGACTCTACCCAGTGCTTGTATAAATTAAAATAAATAAATAAATAAAGCACAAATGTTTATTTAAAAAAAAAAACAGATCTAGAAAAATAGAGCACAAACAATAGTAGCACATATTGAAAACATGAGTGTTATTTTGTTCTGACTCCGTTTCTCCTATTTAGCAAAATAACCCTCCTTTGCCTTATTTCCTTATTTTAAAATAAACCTATCAGTCATTGTCTTCTGTTTTTTTAGATTTTAATGCCTGTATATATTTTTTAATATTTGTTTATTTATGCATACAAGAGCTGGGGTACATGCCAGAGATGTGGGGGGTGAGAGGATTCACAGAGACAGAGTGGGGAACAGAAGAGGCAGACTGACTGAAATACACCGCTGCGGGGAGCAGCGGGCGAGACAGAAGAGGTCTGCCTCGCCATGTGGGTTTCTCCCTGGCGGCCGGGGATTGAACTCATGTTGCAGAGGCTGTGGATTGCTTCATAGTGCGGTGTTTAACCCCTTGCGCCACCAGGGAGGCCCAGTAAGAAATTTATAAATTACATCATTGGGAGAGGTTAGGTTAAAAAATATCCTATTATCCCATAACTATGTAATATGTAATCATTCATGGTTTCATTTATAAAAACATAATACATTACCTATCACTGTTCAGAGTAGGCACTCCCACTTAGCTGTGAAATGTGCTTCCACTTGAGAGTAGCCATGCTATTACATAGTAACCCTTACTTTGCCTTTCTACTTGCATTCCCCTGTTGGCCACTGGTCCTGTTATCTTTCTGCGTCCCCTACTTCATTTTGAGTAGGTAAGTGCCAGTGGCAGCAGGTGGGTAAGTCATTCTACCCTACTTTTGTAAATGTACAGAATGTATTTCTATACAATATTTGTTCTGTACACGTGACAAAAAATATAGTTGATAAACATATATAAAATGCATATTAAGAATGTGAAAGTGTTTTTGATTAAGACTTTCATGCTTATTGTAGAAACAGATTTGATACCTGAATAATAAAGTAATAACACTTTAGTATATTTTCATAGTATATTTAGTACATTTAACAGGTCTTCATAAAAGTGATGTAATTTCTTCTGTAAGTATTCCTGCATTTCTGCTGTATTTCAACTCAGATTTATTATTTTCCCATATCAAAAAAAGTCTTTGCTCTTTGAGATTTAAATTTTTCATTTGTCTTTTTTCTGGGTGCCAATATATGTATCAGAGAAGTAGCTGTTTATGAGACCTTAGTTGGGATCTTTATAATCATTTTAAAAAGAAAATCATGAGAAAGAACCTTTTTTTCTAAGTTAAATATAATTGTGGATTTAGGAAACAAAAACTTTAGGACACCTGTACAGTTGTATCACACTTTACTTTTCAAGTTTGCTTGACAGGGTCAGTGCCGCTTGCCCATTTAATAAAGCTGGACAGCATCCCAGTCAGCATCTCATCGGTCTTCGGAAAGCTGTCTACAGAACTGTAAGAGCCAACTTTCAAGCAGCAAGGCTAGCTACCCTATATATGTTGAAAAAATATCCTTTTCTGTCTATCTGTGAGAATAAGCAATATTCCAGAGTTCTGGATATAGATAGTATTGTAGCACCTTGTAGAAATTAATTGTAAACTCAGATTGCTTGTTTGAAGCTAATTTCCATCATCACTTCTATTTTAAAACTGGAAATGCATTCCATAGGGATTGACAATAAGAAACAGGAAGAAAGTTCTGCTTTTATGTGGCTCACTTTTAAGAAGGAAAATTCCTGAAGCCCCTTTCTTTACTGGTCTAAATATAAAATCCAGAGAACCTGGCTTTGCTATGTTAACACTTTTTTAAATTTCTGAACATGGTAAATTTGCATTATGACATGGCAATGAGCAGCAAGAAATCCTCCCTTTCAAAAAAGAGGCTCCTGACACTTAAGCAAGTGTCTTAATTCTCTGTACCTTAAGCAAATTTCTTAACTCTTTGTACCTTGCTTTCTTCATTTTAAAAAATGGCAATAATAAAATAATCCTGTGTTTCTATTGCTTTCAAATAATTTAGTGCATATAAAGTGCTTAGACAATGTCTGGTGTGTAGTAAGCACTCAAAGGCAGAATGACAAAAAGTCTGTCGTTTAAATTTACTAAATCAGGAAATTAGTTATGTTGGCCAGGAAATAAAGGTGTATAAGATCCTTATTTTACTTAGATTCATAAATAAATTATGAGTAAATTGAATGTAAAATGGTTCTACTTTGCACCTTCAGTGTACTGGGTACCACAGCACTAATACATGTAATGCTTGCAATTTACAGAATACTTTAAGTTCTGTCATTATATGCTCATATATCTTTCCAGTTAAATTAAAAACCTCTACTTTGTGTGTGATTTCCTTAATGTCACACAACTAGTAAAAGGTGAAGTTGTGTGTTGACTACAGTACTTATGACTTAAAACCTTTATATATACACTTGATCCTTGAACAGCATGGGTTTGAACTGTGCAGGTCCATTTATACATGCAGGTGGCAGCTGGTTGGATTCAAGGAAGTGGAACCAGTATATTCAGAGGGCTGACTCTTAAGTTATGTGTGGTTTTTTTACTGCAGACTAGTAACAAGAACCAAGCCACCTTTGATATAGAGTAAATTAAGATAGTTACAGGGGGATAGTATTTGCTTGGCAGCTATTTGAAAATGCAGAAGGAAATGGATCAAAATAGAAACCTCTGAAACTGGACTAGGAAGAATTCAAAATCTTGAAGAGATTACACATGTGATAAAAAAAAATTGCATTTATAAAAAATACCTGGTTGTAAAACAGAAATGAATATATGCATCTATAACATGATAAAGTTATTAATGCACTGCTATAGAGAGACCTCCAAATTATATGTACTACCATGGAATAATTTCCAAGTTACTTTGATAAGTGAAAAGTAAAAAAGGCAAAGCACGTAGAGCAATATTTATATTACCCTTTCATTTGTGTGCAAAAGGAATTTTTTATATTTGTATATGAGGGAATAAATGTGTATGTGTATGCATATGTATATGTATATATACTTATTCCCACAGACATACATTTCTGTTTGGATTTGCTTGTATGTATGTATGCATAGTGTCTTTAATGATACACACAATACTGGTATACTGATTGCCTCTGCCTTTGGGTAGGGGAACTAGGTAGCTAAGAGATAGGAATAGGAAGCAGTTTTTACTGTCCTCTTAATATTTTATGAATTTTGAATCCTGTGACTATATTACCTATACAGAAGTAATACATTTTTAAAGATTTAACTAGCAGGTCCAGATGGTTTATAGTTTTTAAAAAAAAAAGTTTATTTCAGACCATAGAAAGTGTTAGAAAGCTTTATATCACCATGCTATTTATGAAGATAATATCATCTCAGCACTAAAACATGATATAAGGAATTAAAATTATAGATCAATCTCACAAATGGTGATACAAAATATTTAGAATACAGATTGAGAAAGGGACTATATCAAAAGATGATTATAATATGATCAAATAGGAATATGCTTGAAATGTGAGAATAGTTCAGTAAAAGAAGTGTATGAATATAATTCCTTACAAAAGCAATTAAATGGGGAGGAAAATAACGCATTAAAATTGATAGATGCCCATGGGGAAGAGGAATACAGATGCAGAACAGTAGCCTGTGTCAAACAACTAGACAGAACAGGCTTAGTGCTACCTAGTCTGTGTATTTCAGTAAGTAGTCAGCAAAAGGAGGGAAAAAGAAGTATTTACTGTAGCACAGTGAGGGCCTGAGCCATAGCACAATGAGTAGACAATATAGTTTCAAAAGGAATATGTAAAAAATATCTACATTTGTATGTTAGCACTTGTGAAGAATAGATCTTTTAATTCTTTTTGCTAGAAATATTTTTTCATAAATACCCTGTAAGATATGGGAGGTGTTACGTTAATATTCAGTTTTAAGATGAGTTGCTTTTTTTTTTTTAAGAAATTTATATAAATCTCCAGTCACAGTTCAAAATAAAGATTAGTAAAGGTGACTTTGGACAGTTTTACTGTACATTTATGTTTTAATGAAAAGACATTGTTGATTGCCTTAACCTAATTTAACTTACCCCCTGAACTCTGAGAGTGACAATGTAACCAACTACATCTGTGTGGTACCTTTTAAAGAACTGGGCCTTGGACTTAGTGAAGAACAGATTTCTGAGGAAGAGGCACATAACCTTACAGATGGCTTCAGCCTGCCCGCATTGAAGGTAATCCATTTGTGGAAGGGAAGGGCTGAAAAAAAGAGAGATGCACTTGGGATGTACCTATGCTTTCTGAACATTCCTAGATACTGTGTCTTCAGCAGTTTGGAATTTTGGCCTTGCTCATTGAAAAAAAATAATAATAAGTCAGTGGTAAACTGGGTTCATATTAAATTATTTTGCATTCTTTTATAATTCCTTTAATAAAACTTTAAAGAATGTCCATTTTCATGATTGTAAAAATTTGTATCTAAACTCACCAAAATGGTTCTATCCTTTTTTGTTGTCTGCTACGTCTTGTTCAGACTAGTTTGTTTCCTGGTGGTTTGTTTGGGGAATATTTTCCTCATCTCGAACAGGACTATATCTGGAGAGATCCTTCATTGTCTGGAGTCAGGGTGTGTCTCTCAGTAATAGGTTTTGCAGTTTCTCATGCCAGACATTCCTGGGGATGATCACACTGTGACTGATTTTTATGTTAATTCCCTTAACCAAAATAATGGAATCATTCTGAACCCCATATTCTGTCTCCATCAATAACTCATGTATTTGGACTCACTTAGGTACATCAGTCATACTGTCTTTCCTCCTATGTTTAAGGATTTTTAAAAAGTCATCAAGGAACATTCTCCTCTATTAAATGTGTCTCGCTCTATCAACACTTCCCTTCTGGGGTAGAACTGCACTAAATCACATACTGGTATTAATCTGCTATTTTGGGATCAGAGGTTCCCAAGTACCATAACTACATAATTTGATTAACATTCTTGGCTTAATTTTAAGAGCTAATTCAATCAAAGCAAGCTATATTCATTTCCTAGAATAAAATGAAAAATTTAAACCAAACAAATTTGTAGTTTATTTTAAATGTTGACCATTTCTTATTCATTTAGTACTTTTTTTTTTTTTTTTAGGTTTTGTTCCAACTCTGGGTGGCACAGAGTTCAGAATTCTTCAGACGATTAGCCCTATTACTTTCTACAGCTAATTCACCTCCTGAGCCCTTACTTACTCCAGCACTTTTGCCTCATCATATTTTATCTGACGTGACTCAAGGTCTACCTCATGCTCATTCTGCCTGCTTGGAAGAGCTTAAGCGCAGCTATGAGTTCTATCGGTACTTTGAAACTCAGCACCAATCAGTACCCCAGCGTTCATCCAAAACTCAGCAGAAATCAAGAGAACTGAATAATGTTCACACCGCAGTACGCAGCTTGCAGCTTCATCTGAAAGCACTACTGAATGAGTAAGTTTAGAAGCCATATAAGGAAATATCCCCATGGTAGCAGACTTCACTCTTGTCCCATTGTGGTTATTGGCTTGTGTCCTAGACTAGAAAGAAGATGCAAAATTGAGACCTGCAGTATGAAGGATAGTTTATAGTTACAAATGCTGCAGGAAATAACGATATGTAAGTACTATAATTTGTGGGAGTTGTTATAATTTTTATTTTTCCTGATAAAACAGGAAACCTAGAAAGAGAGAAAAAGCTAATGTTCATTGTGTAGGAGAACTGAAATGGAGAAAATTATAAAGAATGAGCTTCATTTAACTCTCTTAAACTGGAACCTGTAAGAAATATCTGTCAGCATAGAATAGGAAGTTATAAGAGGTACTGTACTTGAAAATTGACATATTGCCTTTTTTCTAAATAAATTACAGCAGATTTGGGCATTTTTCTGTAGGAGAGGACAAGCTTTTTAGCTCCAATTGAAGATTAAAATGTAGAATCCATATTTTGTATTTATTGCTTTTTTACTTTTCCTAGTGTTATTGGTTCTCTGCCTTTACCTCCAATCTTTTATGTCCCATTTTGGCGGACCTTAATCATTTGAAAATACTGTTTTCTATATGAAGATTTCCAAGTTTAAAAGTTGTATCAAGACATAATATTTGAGTTAATTTATTTCTAATGAAATTCTTGTCCAACAATTCTCATAGTATAGGACTAGGTCAAATAAATAATTGGTTCATGTTCTGTTAGTAATCCGAATTTAACTCACTGATAAGATTGTAGTTGATGTATCTGACCCCAGATAAAAGGCATGAAGTGAAAGGGGGAGAGCAGCAATCAATTTTGAAGATAAGAAAATAAGGATTTGGTGTCTCAGAAAATCAAAAGTCTAGTTTACCAGAGTGAAGAAGAATATAATGTACAAAAATAGGAAATTAAAGTCAGAAAGGCATTTTAAGAAGTATATTTTCTTACCAGTGTCATTAGTTTTATTACACAATCTTCAGTATATCAGAAAGACAAAGTCATCAATAGCAGGAGGACTAGATCTTGGCTTTTTTGAGAGTTGGGTGCTTTTGGTCCTTATACTCTCAAGAAATAAATCTAAAAATTTTATTATTGAGTATAAACAAAACAAAAATGGATAGAAAAGAATTATTAAAATAGCTTTTCTAATATTCTATATTTTTCACTCTAAACTGTCACTTTATTTGACTTTCTCTACATTTTGAAAAGATACCCGGAGTCATTCTTGAGAATAAGCCACATCACTTAACACTTGGCCTGGTGGGGTGGGTACTGGCAAATGTTGGGGGAAACCACAAATCTGTAACCTCAGTCCAAAGAGCATGTCTCTCTCCAGCTTTAGGGGGAGCTCCCTCTGACTGACTGAGGGCTATGTCAGAAATGTGTGCAGGGAAAAGGATTCAGTCCAACTCAGTCTCTTCCCTCTGAACCAGAAGGCTCTCCAGTGACCCTCCATCTCACACACAAGTCTTATCTTATACTCCATGTCTCTTCTCTTGTTAAATATCATGTGCCATGGAGATGCATGTAGAAGTAGCATCACCCAGTGAGTACTGCAGGACCTTGTTGCTGTGTCCTTCAGTAGCAACTGCACCACAAATTGGATGTCATGGAAAAGGCAGTTCCATTTGCCTATTTGGAAGATAACCCCCAGAGTGGTGTCCTTAGAATTGCTCAGCTCATTCATGTCAGGGTCCACCTCTGTCTTGCTCCTTATTAGAGAAAAGAAGAACCTAGGGAAGCTGTTAAGTCGTAGTCAAAAGGTAAAAGACACCAAATTTCTCAGCTTACCTGCCTACTTGTACCAGGTTCTCCCACAATAAGTAAAAGTGTGTACCTGACAGATGCAAACCAGTGCTTACATCAAACCTGACCAGAAAGCCTATGGAGGGCCTCCCCTGGTGGCGCACTGGTTGAGCACTGGGCTGCGAAGCTGCCCGCAGCCTCTGCAGCACTGGTTTGATCCCTGGCCACAGGTGAGGGTCCCACATGGCGCGACAGACCTCTCCTGCCGCGCCCGCTGCTCCCCTCAGCAGTGTATTTCGTCAGTCTGCCCACTCTGGCTCTGGTGAATTCTCTCACCCTCCCGTGCTTCTGACTGTACCCAGTGCTTGTATAAATAAATAAATAAATCTTTAAAAAAAAAAAAAAAAAAAGCCTATGGAAGTAGCCATATTCTGCCCAATTTGCTTCCTTTCCCACTCCTTTTGGTACTTCACAGGGTTCTTCACTACTGAGGTCCAAGGTCTCCCTGTCCTAATGGGAGTACCTTCCTCTACAACACGGAAGCAACCTTCTTCAGAAGGACTTCATGTGTGAAATGGAAAAGCTTCAGGGAAAGGGAACACCTAGCAACCAAGCACTAAGTAGCAGGTGGTGATAATTAGCTGAGGTGTTTTTAATCCATCAGATCTAGCTCTGAGTTTGGCTGACAAAAATTAAGAAACTATGTTCCAGTGGTCTGTAACTGCTGTTTAAGAAGGCAGGTGAATACTAACCCAACTCTTAACTCTGTCTCCCACAGGAAATCGGGAGATAAGGCAATCTCCACTGGAGTGGGTGGCAAAGGTTGGTTCATCATCAGAGGAAAACAAGATTTCAGTGGAAAAGTTATGGGAGACAAAGCCAGTTTCTAAAGAATTAATGATTAGCAGTAGAATCAGAAATAGGGAAATTGGACCTCCATGGTGGCGCAAGGGGTTAAGCACCGCACTATGAAGCAATCCACAGCCTCTGAAGCATGAGTTCGATCCCCGGCCAGCCAGGGACCTCTCCTCGCTCACCCGCTGCGCCCCTCAGCAGTGTATTTCAGTCCATCTGCCTGTTCTCTTTCGCAACTCTGTCTCTGGTGAATCCTCTCACCCCCCACACCTCTGGCCTGTACCCCAGCTCTTGTATGCATAAATAAATAAATCTTAAAACAAAAAACAGAAATAGGGCACATTGGAGTGCATTAGAACAAGGGAAAATGACTCAGAAGGAAGAGCGCTGCACTCCTTGGATATGAGAATGAAAAGAGGTGCTTTGTACTTTGAGTAGAGATCTTGGTTTATACATAGGAAGTGTATTTCCGCTTTAAAAAAAATATATGTATGTAGAGGGGACAAAATGTATATCTATGCTGTAACATGTCAACTTTCTAGAGAATATACAGTCGCAAACTATCATATCTTAATTGCTTTACAGCATTACTAACACACAACTTACGAAAGTGTTACCTAAAAAGTGTTTTGTATCCCACATTTCAGAAGCATTTTGTGTTTCATTCCTCCCTTTGGCTAGTCTCCTTCCTGTTCCCACTCTCACTTGCTGTCACTGATAAATTTGCTTTCTCTCTTACCTGAAAATCTTCACTGGTTTCAGAGTATAGCCCCTTAAAGACTGTATAAAATATTGTATAGAAAGGGTTTTCAGTAACCCAACTACAGTCTACTTTTCTATCTTTCTCATACTTTTCCTTCAACCATGCCAAACTATATACTCTTTCACCTGTTCCATCTGGAATTGACCTTAACTTTTATACTTCTTCAAATTTTATCCATTTATCAATAGTACTTCAACCACCTCTTCTTAGTTATTTACTCTGTGTATCCATAGTTGACAGTAACTTCTCTTCTGAATTCTTATTACATTATCTGTGTCTCTCTGTGATATATACTGCTGTGCCTGGATTCAGGCCAGCTTTACAGTTTACCAGCTGTATAATTCTGGGCAAGTTTCTTCAATTCTATGGACCTAATTCCTCATCTATGAAACAGAAATGTTAATTACAGTAACTTTATGATACTGTATTTGTTTTTTGTTTGCTTGTTTGTTTCTTTATGGTACTTTATTATATGTGCTATAAGTTTTTTTTAGATAGAAGAGGGGTTGAATGTATCCTTTTCATTCATAAAATGCCTAGTATGTATGCAAGAAATATTTGTTGAATAAATATGATACTCTTTATAAGCTTTTTAAAAATGGTAAAATACACATACATACAATTTAATGTTTAACCATTTTTAAGTGTGTAATTCAATGGTAGTAATCACATAAACACTGCTATGCAGCCATCACCACTTTTAGTCCTCAGAACTTTTTTTCATCTTACAAACTTATTTCTTAAGTAGGCTTTGTAAATGATAAATTTTCCATTTTTAGAAGTCTGTTTCTGTTTTCTTTATTACTCAGGGTAATAATTCTTGAAGATGAACTTGAAAAGCTTGTTTGTACTAAAGAAACACAAGAACTAGTATCAGAGACTTATCAAATCCTAGAACAGAAATTA